CCAAAAAAAGAGATGAAATTATTCAGAAGAAGGATTAATTTGTGGAATTAATGACAAGGAAATAGTTACTGCAAAAGAACATCGCAAATGAAAAGGCGAAGATTAACCGTATACCGTTGGAGCTTTCGTGCATGGCTGCAAAAATGAAACGGAGAAAAGAAAAAGTATCAGACATAAAGTTTCAAAATTTATGAGAGTTTTTCTTTTTATGAATTATGCTCACATTGGCTTTATTTGTTTTGCAAGAATTTTTCCACCAGATGTTCCCATTGCCATTTATTGTTCCACCACCCGTGACCACGAGATTTTGGACCCTGTCGAATGTTAGCCAATGGCTCGAATCTTTTATGTAGTCTGAACGATCGTTTGAAGCCATAATGGTTCCAGCAATCTACATGTACACATTTTTCATCACATGATTAATTTTTACGAAACAATTCAAGAAAAACATTAAAAGTTCACTATATAAGATGGTTATATGGGTGTTCTTTTTTTTTTTTTTTTTTTTTTTTCCTTTTTGGTGCATTTACTTTTACCTGCATTGTTATATCAGATGTGCAGGGCCCTGAAAACCTAATTGGTTTAAGAAGATATGTTCTGCTCTCTGGAGCCACAAACGAGACGTCTTTAGAAGAAGAACAAGTTCGTGCCCATGCTTGCTGAAATGCCTGGTAAATCATACGTAAAAATTCTTCATCAGTTGATTAAATTAATCGTGAAGTTAGTACCGAGCACAATTGTCATATATTAACTTTTCAGAATGATTAATGGAAAAAAAAAAAGCACCAAATGAAGTCAATTTACCTTAGTATCATCAGTACTTCCATCACCTTTAGCTCCAAAATCGAGCACATTAACTGTTTCACCTGAGTCCGCAAGAAATCTTCTAAACTGCTTCTTTCCCGAATCATTGTCAAATTTGACGCCTCTAAGACGATGGGCCAAATGAGAAGGGTAAGCCCGAAAATCATAGCCAACTTCCTCTTGTAAGTAGCCATCAGGATCATAATTGAGGCCCGTAACATGGCACGAGCTTAAAGCAAGTAGCATGATGAAGTATGGGAAAAAGTGGTTGCCAAAAGTCATTTTCTTGCTTCTTAATTCCATAATTCAAAGATCAACTCGATTATGATTAGAAATAGTCAGAGTACTTAATTTCTTGTGGGGTTTATTTTGATATTGTGGTAATAAGTATGGATGTGATCTGACAGAAGTTATGTCTGATTTGTGTATTTATAGAATTTTTCACCTCAAATTAGTATGGCTATTCTCTACGACTCAAATTAGTATGGCTAATGGGTATGGGAAAGAGTTAGACGAAAAGCGTTATATATCTGAAGTTAGTTGCTGACTTTTGCCCCATGCTCTTGCATATACAAGTTTACCACATAATGATACTTATTCTTAATGGTTATCACTTGATAACGTGTCGTATAACGATGATTAATGTTGGTTTGGAAGGTTATACATTTTTTCGCTATTTTATTTATTTTGTTTTCTTGCTCATGCAATTAGGACTATACAAAAACAGCATGTAATTTGTTCGGTACATTTTTTAGGGTTGATTTAGGATAGAGGAATTTGAAACATGACCATACCGCATATGTTGAACTCAAAAGCATGATCTCTTCTTGTATGTCATCATATGTAACCATATTAGTATTTTCCTCCCTTGTGTAAACACATAATATTGTATGAACTGAAGTAATCAACATTGAAAATTTCGAATTAGTGGATAAGAATGCGTTTAAGTTATGGTTACGTGCACATGATAGTTACTCGAAGACATTCCTTATAGGTATGTCATGACGAGACGTGATCCACGAGTCTGTAGACACGATTCGTTTATCCTATTTTCTCTTGTATGCTCATGTTCATGGATTTGAGACTTGGTCATTGTTTGAGTTTAATTTCGACACATGTTTTGAATCATCAAATGTATAGGTATATAATATGGCAATGTGTTTAGAAAATGTATAGGTACATTTTCTAAATTGTAGCCACCAACCATGTTTGTGTGTGTGGGATTGTGGAAGATGATTACTAGAAGAATAAATAAACCAATCCCCCTTATATAATTTCAGAATGCGCTTAGTCTAAGTGGCAGTTTCGCACGTTTCGTAATCTTACATGAGAAAATATTATACTTTGTAATATGGCTTAAATAAAAATTACTAATTTTTTATACCAAATAATTTAGGTTCGGATTATCATTTATGTACACATATTTATACATTTAAACCATTCTATATAAATATGTTTATTATCTTATTTTCTATAATGTGTATGTAATCTTAATTTCTATATTTTATGTTTTATTCATATTATTCTCTCATGTGTTTTAAAC